CAAAAGTGCTTCAAAAACTGGTTCGAGCTCATGCAAAAGTGTATAGATCTTGATGTGGAGAATTTTGAAAAGCAGCAAAACGATTTCCAATAAATAGTATTTGTTTCTTTTCTCAAATCTCAAAATATAAAAGGCAGCCTACGTACGTATGAGCGATGCATAACGTTATTCCTCCAAAAGTTTTGCATCCCAATTGGTCAGCCCTTCTGAAGTGGTGCGATTGGCCGTCCATTCGAAAAGCTGTCTCTGCCGAATATTTGCGCGCACGTTGACGTAATAGTAGTAAATAACGTAAATGATTAACTGCGGTGAAGTCATTTTTGTTAGTCTTTTCCCTTGAGTGGTGAGTTGTTAAACGCTCAAGTCTACTTCCAGTTCAACGGGAAACCTAGAACAACGAAAATGGAAACCACGCTTTCTTGAGCATGGACGTCGGCCCACTAGTAGTCCAAGAAAGGATCTTCCGAAGTCATTCCTGTGTAAACCCACATGCACAAATCCATCGCAAATAAGAAGAGTTAAGGAAGGAGAAGGGGAAACAATGGAGTCCATTTCCTACATTCCACAAAACGTTGAGGCCCATGGAAGGCGTACGAAACAGCAATACGGAAATGGGAATGGTACCGCGCACATGAACGCAGTGCGATGCTGTGAAGGAGAAGGCTTGAGTTTTCAGGGAATGTTACAGTAATTGCTGCGGAACCCTTGCTGCATGCTGGAGCTTTGGGTACAAATACTGCCACTTTGGAAATGTAGCCTCAGAATTGTATTAAGGCTGGGATCATTCATTTGGTCGGCGCCGTCACTTACCAATTAGATCCAATGGTTTAGTGACACACGAACCAAACACTATGATTGTAAGCCAGAATGAGTGGGCTTAATTCTCGGTAGAGTTTGATTAGAATTGGGTTTGAAGGTGGTGAGGTGCGTGGGAGAGGGTCGTACTCATGGATCACATTCACTTCCGATAGACAAGTCTCCAGATGCCGTCCAGCGTACAGCGTAAGTTCCAACAGAGAGTTTACGAAATTATTGTTAGTTGGACAAAACACCTTTCACGACGCTATTCTTGACCCTGCGATAGAGGCCGATGTCACAAGAGTGTGATCCTGCGCTCAGAATCATACCTGGCT